TCTTTCTCACGCCGTACTCTGATCGCGACAAATTCCAAACAAACAGAAGCAAAATGTTATCCAAAAGTATTTTATGTAACTATTCCTAAAAAGCACGGGACGATTAATTCTATCACGAACAATTCACTGGATACAGGCTGTCCCAAAATTATTATACAAGCGGGAAGTGATTGGTTCCTGAGGTCATTTGAAGTAGCTTTTTCCTTAGCGAAAATGCAATCCGCGGCTTTGTTTACGAGTTATTAACGAAAAACACTGACCAATGTGAGGCGGCCGAGCCAATGAGCGGAACTGAGCTTCGACCGCTTGTTGGCTCGGCCGCTTCGCGCCAGCTGATCTCGCCTCTGATTGGTCACTGTTTTTCGTGAATAATTCTTAAACGAAGTCGCGGATTACATTTTCGCTTAGGAAAAAGTTACTTCAAATAACCTCAGGAATCCCTCGATTCTCGCTTGTACATTAATTTTGAGACGCCCTGTATATGACCATGACGCAGTAATGCAAATTTACATTTTTATCGACAGATTTGAGAGAATTAGAATCAAATTCGGTCTAAATTCTTTTATTCGAAATTGGAATGAAATAGCGAAGTCCTGTAAAATATTATTTAAAATTCACGCATCGTATGCTTCGTATAACTTTTTCAAAAACGTGCATACGCTGCAACTGTATAAAGTCCTCGAATTCAATCGCTGCGAAAAATCGAGAAATTGAATTTCCGCTTCGGAAACCACGATCCGTGAAACGGTTACACTTGACAATTTCGTTGCAAACCGCTTAAACCTCGCTGTTGTTAGTCTATCTTGTTTCGCAGGACTTAATTCGTTTTTTAAATTCATTACCGCTGTTATCCGGAAGCTAAGCTCACCGTGAAAGCTTGATTTAAACGGGAGGAAACGACGTAGTGGATGGAGACCGACAGAGAACCGCCTTTGTACGGTTCTCCTGGCGAAATCCGGGTTAACTTTTAATCCGCATTGTAAATTATACTCGGGTGCCATTAATTCTTCAAAATGTTTGAAAAACCACCGTAAAGAGAACTTACCTCGCGGCTTTTCTTCAACTTTACACATTTTTGTGTACGGCTTCTCCTATCGATTTCTTTGTTATTCTTTCGTGATAATTTGCATACAGATTCCGAATTAACCCTTGGCACTCCGAATCATTCTGGACGTTGGCTACCAGCTACTCAGCGCCACTTTTCGGCAGAAACGGGCATTTACAGACCCTCGTATTATTTAGTATGGTTTTGGAACTGACTGACATATTATAATGATATTGGACTTACATGAATTTGGCTGGAATCGAGAAATTTGCAAAAAGATCAATATTTTATTTTTTATAATTTTGTTATTGTTCGTTTTATAATTTTGTTTTGTTGTTGTAATCGCTCTCTATGCGAACTCTTTCTCTCGTCGCCTTGTTGCTTGGACGATATCGCTGTCACTGCTATCAAAACGATAGACTAACTGTAGAAGAAAACCTTCTACAGTTTGTCTTTCTAACATATCTGTATAAACGTCTATCTGGAGCTCATCTTCGCTACCACTTGTGTCATGAGACTCATTCGTGTTTGAACGTTTTGCCATTGTTCTAATAAAAAATATGAATAAATACATAGGTTGAAAATTTCTAATTGTTATTACTAACTCACAAGATGATATTTACCAAAAAAACTTTTACCAAACAATTTATTTACCAAGAGAAGAATCGCTTTTCCGATTTTCTCACTCGTTAGATCTATCTATACCGCTCGACGCTTCGAACCAGACTGAGTTCAGCTTTGAAAATCTTTTCCTCCAGATTTTAT